GCAATTTTTCATAATTAAAAACAAACCAAATGTCACAGCAAATATTTCATATATTAGAAGTTTCATCTGAGGGTCAAAATTAACTTTCCTAAATTACATATTTCCTCGTGGATATTATTCCTAGGCTCTGAAAAGGAAAACTACAGCTCATAAAAAATACACCCCGAGGAACAAGATACTTCATTAATTCCTTAAAGGTTTAGCATAATTGTTTTTAACTCCAGAAAAATCCTTCAACTAACTGGAGACTCTCTGATGTCAGTCCTTCCAGACCTGACACGAGAAAAAAATTCTACGTGCATGCAATTAATCTTCTGTATTATCACCCCATATTTTAATAATTTTCAACTCTTAGAGACTTGCACCCTCAAAATCATGCTAGCTCAACCATGTAGTATTTAAATTGTATCTGGCTCTGTATTTTTGAAAGTATTTGTTGTTATAATTTTATCTTAACCTAGTTTATGGTATGACATAAACAATCTTCTATACTGGGATTTCAATACATACTTTAAAAATTGAATATAAACATATTATGTTACTTTTATGTTAGTAGCATAATGAGAGTCCAGTTCTCATTTGGCCTTCTTGGGGCACAGAAATAAAAATATATAAAATAAATAATATGCTTATCATAGAGAAAGTAACATACCAAGCTTATTTTAAAACACTGGCCTGAAATAAGATCACCAAAAATTAGCATAGGGGAGAAAATAAGATAATTAATGTTTAATTATATTTAGTATATTTTTAACCTTATAAACAAAATAGTAACATGTCAGCAATTAGCTTTACATCTTGGATTCTTGCATTTTTAATAATCAGCATTAAATAATCAACTGGCATTACAGTTCATAATAAATGGAGTACTACAGAAACACTGTACAGCTTGGAGCAATGTACAACGCTGCGCAGGAGTGACCCAGTACCCAAGTTCGTAGCAACTTTATACCATCTCAGGCTACCGTATCTGCAGGAGTAGCCTGCTGCACTGAAGTTTCATCAAACGCTAGACAGGTCAAAGTAAAAACAAAATACCCCAAACCAGATGCAGTCGAAGCTTTATTAAGGCACAAGTGATAGAAATGCAAGAAAATTATGCTTCATTTACTAAATAGCAAGTTTAAAAGAGCTCCTGCATTGTAATCTGAGCTTGTGTGCACAAACTGCCACTGAAGGCAAGGAAAACGAGAGTCTCTGGTAAAACAGGGTCTGAACGGAGACATTGTGGGGTGAGGGGAGTTTTCCAGGGGATATCAAAGACAGACGGTGAACGGAACTGTTGTAGCCAGCTCACAGCTGCCTGTTATTCCAGTACTAGAATTAAAGATAATTTAGGAAAAGCTCAAGGAATATTTCTTCTGGCCTGGCATGAACATGAAGTAACGGATGACTGAAAAACTCAAAAGCAACAGATTAAGGTTAGCCTATTTATTAGCTTTTTCTAAAGCAAAAAAATATTTTATGACTTCAGTGAAGTTGTTCATATGAAAATTGCTTATAATAGTAAAGATGTACAGAGTTTGTAACAAAATCCACCTACTGGTGGCTAAAGTAGTAGAGTTTTTGGGACTGAAACATTTTCTAAAATTTGGCTTTCTTCAGTGTATTGAGGTTATTGCTTAGAAATCCCGGTGAGGGCTAATCCTTCAGAAAGGCTCCAGCAGACATCTAATGTAAGAGACGTACGGAAACTCTTAACAGCTAGTAACTCCCATGTTCCCTCTGAGTAAGTGCTGAGTTTTTTAAAATCTGGGTGCTTAGTGGTACAAATGGGTGCTGCTGGATGCAGAATTACTTAGGAAAAAAATGGCCCTAATAACCTGATCACCTAAGTTAGATTTTTACAGTTTTGTTAAACACTATCCACAAACATTGCTAAAGCAAATGCAACTAGAGTGAAGGCCTTACATTTCACAGATTAGTTAAGAACATTATCTACCAAGTAGGTAATGTGATTGTTTATGTGGGACTTAAAAGCAAAATTGCACTGCCTTATGTGTCTTGGCTACATATGAAATCTGAGAAATAGAAGTCTTCCTGCTTTATATGACCAGATACCTCAGATACACCATATACATATAAATTTGGGATGTTTCTATTGCCGTTACTGTTCAAATAATCCAGGAATAAAACTTTGCAAGTTTCTGAAGTGCTTATTTTCCATTATTTTTTTATATATATTTTTATATATATATATGTATGACAGTCAGACAGAGTGCAGGCATATACAAGATAAGTGAATAACTACACATGCATGAGTCCTACATCTGCACCTCATCATTCATGCACTACGCCCGAAACCATCTACTTCTCCAGAGTGCAGCCTTTAGAGAGCAAAATACTTTTCCCCACAGTCACTGCAATTCAATGTTTCTCCTCCAATGTGTTTATTTTCAAAAGTTTGTCCTATAGTTGAGTTACTATTCTCTGTGCAGTATTCTGGATGTTCAGAATATGAAACAACGGTTAGACAATATACTGAATTATAAAGACAACCCAGGAATTACAACTTAATCCTTGGTTGTCACAAATATGCATACATTTCTTTGGATTTTGTTGAGATTAGAATGTAGAAGTTGTTTAAAAATGCAATTTGCATACATGAGAAAGGTGATCGCACAAGACAACTTGAAAAAAAAAACAGAAAAAGAGGAAAGGGAAGATGTTCAAACACAATTCAGCATTTTCTGTATTCCATAATTTTAATACCTGTTTTCAAATACTGTTAGATGAAGAAATGAACTGTGGTCATTGAATTAGATTTTTATTAAAATGTCAAAGGCACTCAGAAAATTTGTATGCACGCTTGCCTCAATCTAAATAAAGAGAACCTATTTGCATGTGTTTTATTATGTACTGAATTACTTTAGCTGTCAAAGTAAGCACCTGATATACGGCACTCATTTGCATAAACTAATTTATAAATAAAAAGTGGGTGCAAACGTCGAAGAAGAAATTCACACATTTGCTGACAGACAACATGCATTGTTCTCAAGAATATCTTTATTCCTAATATTTTTAAAGTCTCAAAACTATTTGGTAGAATTAAGGCGTACTTATTTTCCCCCTTAATGACTCTCCGCCATTTTGGATACGCTTGTGAGCTTGCGTGCAGATGCTGGGTGACTCCTTTGTCACAATCCTCTTCAATGCACTGCGTTCTGATCTCGGTTAAGGCAGAATTTGGAATAACGCTCGCATTAGAAATGGCTGATCAAAGACAAGGGCATTGTTACTTTGGTTCCAGAATGCTGCAGGAAGGATCCTATACCGGCCACAGGTAGAGCCGCACTACATGTATGAGGTTAAACTGAGGTACAGCACTATGTGCTCAACAAGTAACAACATGCTTAACTCAGAGGACAACTGTTTACGTCAGCATTCAAGCATCAGCATTCGTCCTCTATCGTTTATAGAACAGCTTGGTATTTCAAAGTCAAATGCGACTAAAAACATTCAGTCTGAGCCTACGTACATGAAATTTCAGCTCATTGCTATCACAGATGAGGACAGCTTAAATATGCTAAACAGACTAATAAGAGATTATTATATTTCAGGTAGATACAAGATATCAAAAACTTTTGGATCATGTTATGCAAACAGAATCCTGTAAGTGCCAACACAGGTTATATTTCCTAATAGGTGTTTATCTCACAAAAGCAGCGTACTTCTTTCTGTAAACACATATTGAGTGGGGCAATGGCTGTGTGCTAAAATTTAAAATCTTACAAACAGCCGTGGAGCAAAGTAGGAAAAGTTAGTGGCTATGTACACGTGCTGTGTCTTCCTTGAACTTAAAAGGTACTGCTGTGGGCTTATGTACTATGTTTGCACGGACAGCAGTCTGTCACTGCCATTTCCAAGATAATTAATAGCTGTGAATATTGAAATACCACAGCTTTCTTCTGCCTCCCCACCACCACTGCCATACTGGAAGAAGCATAAAATTGTTCTCCTATCAAACTGCGCATCTGATAACTATCTCAACTTTAATAGCTCCGATTAAATATATTTTTCCTATATACTGTTGGATGCCACTGCTTTAAAACTCTTGATGATTTTGTGCTTCAGGATGTCTGCATTTCCCTGCTGAATGCTAACTTTCCATTGCATATCTTGCATCTTAGCTTCAGATCCACTGGAATCCACTTGGATGAAAAGCCCCAAAATGAGTAATAGCTATTAAAATTTCCAGACCAAAACAAAAACAAAACCCACATCAAGGCAGAGTTACGGTTGAAAAGGAGTATCAGTTACTTAAGGCATAAAGTATAATGGCATATTGTATAAAGCATAAATTATCCCCAAAGTAAACATTTCAAAAACCCCAGGAAACTCAGGATTAAGGATAAAAACTTAAACGAAATCCAAACATCTTGAAATATTGAAATGCAGTATGAAAGCCTTCAAAACAAACTCCGATCAGCCCTGCAGGCAGCACCATGCTGTAAGCCAGCAATTATGATTAATGTATTTTAGTATCTGTGCCCCTAAATTAGCCTAATGCATATTTCAGAGATAATAATTTTTTATTTTGTTCCTTCGCATGCAACAAGTGACTATGACAAGCAATAGAAGGTGAGCAGGAGAAAAAATAATGGTATATAACCATATTATTAGTTTCACTGCGGAACTGGTTGTTACTTGACTACTTAGAAATATAAAATGTCCATCATAAGTGTGAAGCTACAAGTAAAATACTGTTGTATCATGCACGAATGTTTCATCACTGTGAGAAGAAACCATTTCCGGCTGGGGATCGGTAAAAGTGAATCAGGAAAGGTTCCATTAGATTTTATAACTTGTTGAAGAATAAACAAATGGTATTTCAATTCTTAAAATTAAAAATGAAAATCTGAGAAACACACTACTTCTACCGCATAGGTTGCCTATCTAATCTAACTAAGTGGACAGAACTTTTCTATGGAAAAATAAGAAAAAGAGTAAGAGGAGACGAATGTTTGCCAAAAAATTCAAGCCCCAAAACACTCACTCATTTTCAAAATTGTTTTATTGCAGTTGGATAATAGAGATAAATACCTAAGAGCAAAATCCAGTAAGTCACATTTATTTTTCTTTTGGAACAATTCTCCAAACTGGTGGTGTTTTATGATAAAGAACAAAAAGTTGCACTACATTTCAGAACATTTTGTTCTTTAAAACTGGTCATACAGGTGGGAAATATTAAAGTACTACAAATTAAGTGAATAATTTTCCACTCCAGCTTCATTTCCCAAATTGAACAAGTCCAAGTGAAAGAAACCATGACTTTTTCTGCTTTGGAGATGCATATCAGCTGGTGGTGCACTTCAAGCTATATTAATTTGATTAAAAAGTTTATCCTTAATAACCTGAGACATCAATCCATGTATAGCTTCTATGGTGGTCTTGCAGCTGAAAAACAAGCATAAATTCAATGTTGGCCAAACACTGAACTGAACTGTCATTTTATTTGAAGATATTCAGCTGTTTTGGAAGTTCAAGGTGCCCATAACCCCATGAATCTTAACTGTCCAGAAAGGAAAAGTCACACACAGCAATTTAGCCATTGTTGCCAATAGCTTTCTGTTACTTAAAAAGCGAACTGATGAGTACTACACACACAAAGACCAATTCCAGAAAACTTCTCTGTCTGGCAACTTAGGACATCTTACAGTAACAATAGCAAGTGAGCTCTGTGGTCATCTGAACCAAAAAAATAATTTAAAAAAATCCCTGAGGGAATGGAGCTACCAGCTGTTACCATATCTGAAGGCTCTCACTGTTCTCCACCTTATCGCCTTTGCCCGACCCCAGGCCAGAAGTGCACAGTAACCACAGCTCCTCTGAGAAACTTTACAGAGAACACTGAAGGAAGAATTTATAGAGCTAATCAGTTATTAGTCAAAATATGCAACATGTGCAAAAATCCCCAAACAGCTGCAAGGATTCCTATTGATCCATGTTTCCTCCAGTGTTCCTGGTTTAGGGGGATGTAGGGTCAAACTAACAAGTAAACATGTCTCAAAACAGAAGATATAGATGCAGAAGATGAATCAGCCCTGGAGGCATGGAGAATAGGGACAAATTACTACTCTAGATAAAGGAATCCTAGGCAAAGGGAGCCGGCGTGGAGTACAGTTTGGCTAATGCATATGTACTCTTAGAAAATGTCTCTTGGAGATATGTAGGTACAGTAACAGAAGATATATAGCCAAGTGTAAGCACCTTTATGTTAATGTTTTACAGCACTGTTTTTGCTAAAACAGGCAAACCGAATAATCCTTTAGCAAACTTTGCAACCTTATTTCTTGATAGTAATTTAGGCGCCAACTGAATCAATTGTCCTGGTGTCTGCACAAGTCTTCTCCTGTCTTTTCTGTTTTAAAGCTGCAACATGTGCTCCGCTCTTTCAAAAGAAAGGGATCTAGTTGTCCTGACTAGGGTCTTAAGAGCTAGGAATACAAAGATTTTGAAACTTTAAAGGATTACTATGTAGTCCACTGAGCACGATAAGAGGGATGTGTGCAATGACACAGAATCATAGAATCATAAAATCATTAAGGTTGGAAAAGACCTCCAAGATCATCAGGTCCAACCATCAACCCACCAGCACCATGCCTGCTAAACTGTGTCCTGAAGTGCCACATCTACACATTTTTTTGAACACCTCCAGGGATGATCGTGACTCCACCACCTCCCTGGGCAGCCTGTTCCAATGCCTGACCACTCTTTCAGTAAAGAATTTTTTCCTAATATCTAATCTAAACCTCCCCTGATGCAACTTGAGGCCATTGCCTCT